CTGACATGTGCGCCGAGTTTCATGAGTTTCTGAGCATGTTAAGGCAAATGCGTTCGTTTAATAACTCCCAAAAAAATTCCCATGAATTTAACCCAACTGAAAAATGAATTATTAAAATAATAACTCAGTTGTTTAAAGTACACTGCAGTACTTGGTTATATAATTGGTGATATAATATAAATATAATTGTTCCATTGACAATTTTTTCCTCAAAGTTTACTTTATATCATTACAAAAACGTAAGCCCCAAAGCCACAAAATTAATTGGCTACCATTTTGATAATTAATCGTAAATTGTTTTTTATTATACACCAACTGTTCTGACAGGTAATGTAATAATTTGCTTAAATTCAACTTAAGTGGTAACATTTGTATAAAGAAACAAATGCGTTAAAGGTAGTCTTACTTTATTCAGATAACAAACATTTTAAATAAGTTAGCAAATTAATGTAATATACTTACTAGTTTTAAGTTCTTCTGAACATTCAGTAAATTGACTTTTCCTCGGGATAAATAAAGTAAGTAATAAAGTATCTATCTATCATAAATTGCAGTTTTGATATTGGAACTTCTTTGACTGTAATTGATAGTGACAACTGCAGAGTGACAGGAAAAGGTGAGAGAGAGGGGACGATATGCAGAAAAAGGCCACAGGTCGGAGTTGATGCCATGGCCGCTGCAGCGAGGACTCTGCCTTGGTACACGGGGGGCCAGCTCTACCAGGTGAGCTATCAGGGCGCCACCAACCTTGGTGCCCTTTATTGGGTTAGTGTATCTATTGTTTTGTGTCTGTGTCTATATCTAATATTGTGGATTTCTGAGTAGAAGTCTCGTGGTGGTGCAATCAGGCTATATCCTCAAATCTTGGACCTAGGCTCCTGTTCCCACCACCTGTTATGTGTAAGCTTGTTTAAACCCGGATTATGATTAGAGTCCAAATATGTGCCTGTAATTTAAGTGTGTGTACATGTGATTAAGCCCATGGCATCAAAATCCTTCCCCAGCCAGGTGCCCAAAGTTGGCAACCCTGGTATGTTTAATGTTTAATGTGGGATCAACATAACATTGAGTGTGCAGAAGTTGTCAATGACTAAGCTACCATTTACATAACAGTCTAAGTCCCACCATTATGAACAACATTGAAATACAGTAGTGTAGGCCAACCCTATTCAAGTACAGACAGGTGAATCCTGAATCCAGAAACGGTACAGGAACCAGAACTAATTTGTTAGAAATGGGGTACTCCTGGTCCATACTTTTCTTCCCAATATTTCCAGTTTGGAGCAACAATTGCGGTATTTGAATCATTCATATTACCTCTGCTTACTATTTTACCTTTACAGTTTAGCTCCTAATTAATGCATGTATGCGCACGCTACGTGTACGAACAACATACGAACAACAAAATATTACAGGAAAGGAAAATGGAACAAAAGTAGTTTTAGTATTTTGGTATTTATTACTGGTACACCTACCATAGTTTGAGAAACAATCCACGTTAACTTCCACTTGAAAAGGGGAAGCAACTTAACATAGCTTGCCAAACTTTTAGCTTAGTTAGTTAGCTCAGCTTACTAGCTTCCACTTCCCATGTGTTGTACAGACCTGTAGCAAAATGGGCCCTCCCAAATTTCAACCAACATGTGGGTTTGTTTAAAAAGAAGTACTTTGCTGTTGGCTTTACTTATCACAGACTTGGAAGCTTTGTCCACTATGCTCAATGCTTGAAACTTAAACACAATCCTTTTAAAAAAATTAAACATATGCACAGTATCCACATTATAATTTATTTTTCCTTAAACAAAAAGTGAGTTCAACTTCAAGCAAGTAAAGTGTGTAGCCAAAAGACCATAAAAATCACATAAACTTTTTCAAGAATGGTGTCTTTTATTTTTTGTATTTTCAGCATATTTTTCAGTTACTTATATTATTCTCCTGCACATAAATGCAATGGTACTGATATCTCGGTTACTGGGCTCATATTATTCTCCTGCACATAATAGCAATCGTATCCGTGAAATGGCTCATTAAGACCTACCAAATGCCTGTGTTTATTTTGCGACACTGTAATAAATCCCTGTGTGATTTATGAATACATTTTTTCAAGAACTATTGCACACAACATCACAAATATCATCAATAATAAGTAGTCAGCTGAGAGAAGCTGAAAGATGACTAATGTAGAATCAGCTAAAAAGGCTCAACCACACAAAACAACCTTTCAATATTACAGGGTCAACAAAGTTTTAATAGGAGAGTTAGGCATCGCCCTGCATTTGATTTATGGGTTTTGGTGTATATTTGCGTTGTTTACACATGCCAGCAGTCTTAATTTGGTGATATTTCAGAGCGGAATTGTCACTTCATTTCAGTATAAGCCTATAAAGCAGCGAAGGTGCTGACACATGAGAAGAGATATGAGAGGTAGGATTAATCATGTGCCACGGAACGTGTATAAGGAGGGACGTAGCTCAGCTAAGCTGGAGGGAAAGCGGCAAGGAGAGGGAGGGAGAGAGCAGCCGCACGGGCACGTTGATGGATGGGTTTGGCGTGGATTTACTGCTCTGCCTACCTACGCTCAACTCTACCCCCATCCAACTGAAGTTGGTACTAAACTAACAGCACATGCCAGGCGAAGCAGCGGCAGGTCTCATCAGCCACCTAAGCAGGACAGGTAAACAGGGCAATGTCAAAAGCCAAGGTCAGACATGGAAGTACAGTCACCTACTGTGTACCAGCCAGAGATTATACTAGACCAATTAATCAGTCTGAGTTGTCAACGTTCAATGGACGGCTGTGGATCAGGACGTAGAGGGGGTCGTCCACTAACTGGCTCCTCCTGCTGCATTCCGAAGTGTCCTTGAGCATGATACTGAACCCAAAATTGCTCCCCATGATGTGCATCGGTAGGTGAATGTGTATGAATGGGTGAATGTGGCATGTAGTGTTGTAACGCTTTGAGAGGTCGGAAGACTAGAAAAGCGCAATATAAGTACAGTTCACAACCATAGGTTGTAGCTTCTAGGACTGTTCCTGAATTTAAAAGGGATAAAAAGAGGAAACAAACCTAAAGGCAATATTGACAGTTCGTTCACGACCTTGGAAACAGCAGTTGATATAAGAGGCATTTTCTGGTCAGAGGAACTTTATCTTAGCTCTAAGAAGTAGACGACAGCCTAAGGCAGAAATACACGTATCAACGTTGGATTGTATTGATTGAGATGAGGCACTACAATGCCCACAGCATCCACCTTGCCAGACCAAACGCCACCACAAATGGTGCAACAAAGAAAGCCGGGTTAAGAACTAAACTAAGCCAGTTTGGATTTAAGCATTGGCCCACTATCCGCACGTTAGCGAGCAAGCAAGCTAAAGTTAGCTGCAACCCAGCCACGTTACATGGATTCCAGATCTGGTTGCCAGTTGCAATGCCAGCTAACAAAGCAAGAGTAAGCAGATTTTCAGATACATATTATCTGTCTCATGTTCTACTCTCAGGATACAGTAAAAGTTTCAGCAAATATCACAAAATGTTATTTTTCTAAAAATTACCTACTACAGCTTTAATTGCTGAATTGTTCAACTGTTTAGTGTACATTAGGGATGTCCCAATCGGATATTGCCTATACTGAACTATGTAGAGCCAGATTTGATCCTTTGTTTTACCTCAGCTTTCACGCAGGTGTTTTTACTCGTAAAGCTTTCATGCACAGCTACATCAACTCTCCGCTGTCTGTCTCTCCCCCACTCTGCTGAGCTGCTGGGGGAGAGGCAGACGGCAGTGTGGTGGAGAACGGCTACAAAAAGCCAATTTACTAAGCTATTAAGTAGTTTATTTGTGTAATTTGCTCAAAAGACGTACAGATGACGAAAGACAGTGACATAGACAGACAAAATTGATTACAGACAGGCATTTTTATATTTTTATTTTCATTTTTGTAAAAAGCAACTTGTGCAGGTAAACTAAAACTTAAACTACTTTCCTAAATAAACATGATCTGCTTGTTATTAATGGTGTTATTAATGACTCCTGATGAAACATTTGGAGACCAGACTCTCCAGACTTTCTTGTAGTGTGTGACCCCTTACTGCTGATCAGTCATGTAGTCTAAAAACAACATCTTCGAAACACCAGATTACGAGACTGAAAGTTGTGTATGGTGAACTGTACAGAGATCTGATAGCTTTGAAAATCATGTACTGTGTCCAAGGCTTAAGAGATGTCAATACATACCCTCTATTCCTCATGACTGCCAGAGGTGGTGATTTGCACCAGGATGCTTCTTTATGCACACACTCAGATCCAGTATCTACAACAGAAAGAGGAATATTCAGATTAAAGCAAATGGACAATCACTATTTTCAAATCTAATCTACTAAGAAAAAAGACTTTGGTGAAGAGCTCATATTGAGCAGAAACTTCAGTGAAGAATGTCCTGCCTCCACCCATTTTGAATTACAAACCATCACACCATGGAAATGTCTGAACAACCCCACTGACTGATTCTCAGCGCCTAGCCTGGGGAAAGGCTCATCCAGTTTCTAGTTTGCATGAGAAATGGGATGCAGCGCCCGGCATCCCGTTGGGAGACTGCTTTCTGAGTTAAAATATACCCACAGATGAGAATAAAACAACATCAGTGTAATATTCTTTTTGTCCTCAGTTAATTAAAACCAGCCCATTGAGTGCGTGGAAACTGTGGGGAGAGGATGTTTTGTATTTGAGAGTCAGAATGCGGTTATGTAAATAGTGACCACTGCTGTGCAAAAAAAACGCCATTGTCCTCAAATAACTGTCTCACAGAACACGGTTTCCTCTGGGTTTGGATAATGACAGTAGATGCTCCTGTGTTCTGAGAGCTGAGTGTACCTTAACTTTACTGCCAGGAGGAGCAAAGCACTAGCACTGCAAAGGTTAGCGGGTCAATTCCCACTGGGGTCAGTGATGCTAAAAATGGGTTTCCTAATGGTACTGCAAATGCTGTGCACTCTGGAGCAAAGAACGCACCAAAAGACACATCCTATAGAGGCAGAGACAGCTTTAGAGCCTGACTGATAAATGGGTGGGCCAATATTATTAGATGATATTAGCTTATCACAGAAATATCTGTATCATATATGTATGTAAATTGTATGTTTAATTATTTCTGTTACAGCATACATGTCTGCTCTTTAAATGATATTCCCCATGCTCTAAATTAGCAACATTAAGCCTATATTAGCATGCTCACAGGCTAAACTAAGACAGATAAACATACCTGCTAAACAGCAATATGTTAGTATATTAGCATTCAGCTCAAAGCACCGCTGTGCCTACATGCTTGCATAACTCTAGACCAGTCGTTCTCCAACTAGGGGTCGCCAAAGCTTCACAGGGAGTCGTGAGGCCTTCTTGATTTTAAGGGGTGTAAGAAAACTGAGCCCATGTCTTAGCGTTTTGTTAATTTCTGTGAAGAAAACAAAATGAAATATTTATTTTTAAAGTTAAGATTATTATTTAACATCTAAATTCAAAGAGCTGAACACAAGCTATATTCACAGTGCCTTAAACAGCCTTGCCCTGCATTAGAAAAGAACACAATTAAAACAACCAAAGAGATAATGGAACAATGGCCAAGCATCAGGGACAAGAAAGCACTGAATTTGTCAAAAAAGAAGCCTATTAAGTCTGTATGATTGTTAAAAAAACACATAATGCAGACAGAGAACTGAATGTGGTCTTGTCGAGCTGACTTGGGCGGAAAGAGAGGCGTTCAAAAAAAATTTGAGAAAAGTTCTGCTGCAGATATGTGCCGTTTTGTCTACCGACAAAATAAAATATCTAACACAGTCTGATTGGATTACCTTACCTTAATAATTACTTAATTTTCCTTTGAATGTTGACACCGTAAGTCTACTTTGAAGATGCAGCTAATGCTGCTACTACCCATTGCATGAATGTGAATAAATTAAGGTTGTGTTTCTAGAATACTTCATGGGGTCAGTTTTAGATCATCAACGTCTGAATGAACTAAAGCTCTTGTACCTTCGATAAGAATTATCTAATATAAGTTTGTGAATACGTAAACAGATCTTGCGACCGTTATATGGGTACGGGCAGCAGTGTTGTTTGTAGACACATGAAGGTCTGCTTAGAGCGACAGCGCTTTGTTAACAACCGCTCATATTTTTTTGCTCCATAGAAATTTAGAATTGGACGAGTCTGAGTTGGCTAGTCCCTTGAAGCCAGTCGCCTGATCGACAGGGTGTCATATACCTGAAGGGAACAGCTTGTAAAATAAAAAAGATTTCGTTCCATTAGCCATCAGTGTACAGGCCTTATTAATGGACTACAGTGTATTTGCGATTGGACTGGTCAGCCTTATATAGTCGAATGCTCTGAGCAATAAGAGTAGAATATTATGGTGATGGGGGAAGTGTGATTGTCGAGTCTAGGCCAGCCAGAATATTTTTTATGACTTACACAGTATCGTGCAGTTGTTGATTACAAATTCTTTTTTGAATCAAATCAAATTAGAATGGAATTCACTTTGCTAGGGCCATACAGTAGGATGGACTGTTGAGCTCATCAGGGATACGAATCCCAGCAACACAGTTCAACCAGGCACCAACAACAAAGACAGAAAAATCATCTGAAGTTCGAACCTTTTAAGGATTTAGAGCTGCGAAGTAATTGGCTGTATTGGTGTAATGGAGTCTTCTAAACATCTGCTTGTAGACTGACATCTTTTATTTGGTCAAGACTTAAAAGTGCTCATCACATGGGGAGTCTGGGTCATGCTCCTCTTCAGTCTGGTCAGTGCCGGTGAACATGACAATGTGACTGGCTGATAAAGTTAGGAGGCTGCTGTTCTTTGTGAACCTGTGGCTGATCATGGTGAGCTGGACCAGGCTTTGTTGAGAGCTATCACTTTTACAGCTGACTTGAGTGAAGATTCCTCTTGGAAATGTTATGCAAATAATGGTTGCAGGAGTCCATTTGCAAGATTCGACTGCCTGTTTGCTGCAACATCACTCTGTCTCAAAAGACGATCTAGCACTGCTGACAGGGCAGTCCCATTAAAAATATTGGCCAGCACCTTGAGTGATCTAGTCCAATATGTGTGAAGAGGATATTCTAATATTTTAAAAGGAGTCTAGTTTTTAACAGTTTTGCAATGTTATGCTACCTGTTTACAATGCCATTAAGCCGATGTGACTTAGGCATCATTACTATTCTGTCTGTGCTAAAGGATATGCAGGTATGATGGAAATGGTACTGAATATTCGTAGTCAAATGACCAGCAACATGGGGAGCCGAGGAACTTGTATTTCAATCAGGTCTCAGCTGAGCCTGGCTGTTATTACTCGGGTTAATTGCTGATGTTGGTAAAATACACATAATCCATCCTGATATTTTATGATCCTTTTTTTGATCAGCTCATGGTAGGGTGTTCTAGCAGACTGTTGTGCTGCAGAGAGCTTTGCTGAGGCGAAAGCTCTTGACTTTACGAGTTGAACCGCATCGCAGTCACTTCTGGGCATAGAACTGTTGGGGGAGAGCCAAAAGGAGTGAGATTGCGGGCACAACAACTGAAATTGAACTTTCTGTCGAGTTGATTGGGAAGGATCAGTCATGTAGGTGTTTTACCAACTGTAGTGCTGAAGAGTAGCTGAGTCTAAGTCAAAACTCTCAATTTGACGTATTCTCCAGCCTCACTTATAGCCATGAGCTTGGGGAGTGACAAAAGAATGATGCTGGCAATAATGCAAATGAAAAAATTATTTTCCTTTGTTTTTAAAAATATTTTTTGTGCTCTTCAAGCGTGACGCCTCTTCAGGTGTTTCAATTAAAATTTCTGTGTTAAATATGAGCACAACTTGTCCACCCCTTGAGATTTGATCTTGTGCACAGTTACATGTCGCAGTCTTGACTGGTGGGGATTCCAGTGGTGAAATATTTGCCACAGCGCCGACATGATAGTCTACTTAGCTTAGCTCCAAGACTCGCGTCAACCGGCTCTGAAAAGACGTGTGTGTGTTGTGTCTGTGTACGTGATATTCCTCCTCATCCCTCTAAAAAGAGCTGCAGGTTGAGCACAGCGCACGTTTTAATGAGCGGTGAAGAAGAAGTACCAGAGCTTAACGAGCTAACCAGTAAATGATTACTGAATTTGTCATAAAATGATGTGTATCGGATCGGTGCCTGGATTCAGTACTGCCGATACCGTTGCCAAGCATTTTTCGGAGTATCGGAGCAAATTTCCGGATTTAAACTGGTACGAATCTGGAACAACTCTATGCCTTTTAACCCT